AATGTTTGTACGTCTATACTTCTATACAATTACGTTGTTTCATATACAGGGTTAGATGAAAAGGACGCTCTTTACCCTTTTTACCGTATGATATACATCAAACTGAAAGTTAGTAATATAATAATAATAACCTAGGATCCCATTCGCACAGCGCCATCTAGTCCCAAACTAAGCAGAGTTTGTACTATGGGTACTAAGTAACAGAGAAATACACGTTTTGTAATAGACATTTTGTTTTGTTTTATATACATATTAGATATAGTATATAAGAAAGTTACAACTTTAGCAAAGAATCAAAGTGGAAAATTAAGATTTTTTTTATATAAACTGCACAGTCACGTGTACAATTATCGGTAATTTTATCGGCACAGTAATACCGATTTGCAATAAAAATATAACTATATAGATAAAGAATAGGTATGTATAGAATAAAGATTATATGTATATATACCAAATGCCTATACAGCAAGCCTATAAAACAAAATAAAAGGAAAAAACTCATTCACTTAAAAATATTACTCTTTCAACTTTGATATAGCATGTAGAAACCCTTTTGTAAGCGTCAAATCCTTCATAATTAGTTTCCTATATTTTTTGGTAAAAAAATAATGAGATCCGCATTCGATTTAGCGCCGGGCGATGAAAAAACGGGGCAAACGACAAAATCAACGAACGGCAAGGCTTTACCAAGATTTCGCAAAACCTGCTCAATTTAAAATTAAAGCCACGAAACGTGTTTTTCGTCTATTTTATAAAAATCTCGGGATATGGGAACAATCTTCGATGGATAAGCTCAGCAGAGCCATAATCATACGCAGCACTGCCATATTTTTTAGATTTATATAAAGTGTTGAACTCATAAACGTTAGAGGAATTTTTCATTATTAGGGTATCATATATTTAACCCTATACTCATCAAATATCGAAAATATAAGATTTTTAAAGTAACTCTGATCAAAATTTTCTAAACAAAAGCTTCAAATTTTTTGAAGTATTATAAAAATACATTTCTGAACAATATGTCAATAAATGGAAAGTAATGAGATAAATCACATTTACAGATAATTTTTCAATATAACACAGATGAGATGACGACAATCGGCTAATGAACTACTACAATAGAGCTTTAATAAATAAAATGTGTTTTAATCCCCCATTTAAATTCAATGGCAGCGCGGCAAGTGCAAACGTAATCATCGCAATATAATGCCTCACTGACTACGAGGGGTGCTTTTTTATTGTGCGAGTGAAATAGATTGAAATATTTTTATTGACATGTATTTGGGCTGAAAGAGATAGCAGATACGAGTTCATCGGGATTGACTTTAAATGATTGGCTCAGTTGTGCTTTTTTGTCTATCGGTGATGGATTGCAAATGATAGAGTTTGGGACAAAAGAAGTGTATGTAAATATGCTCTTCTTGTGATTATTTTTTATTTAATTTAAATTCTTTAATATTTTATTCTATTATATAATGTAATATATTTTAATGAAGCACAGCTATATATACAGTATACTGCCTCCTTATTCACTTGATATGCTTGCTGTATTTTTACTTAATTCTCAAACCTCAAACCAAAGTGTCCAGTCCGCATTCATAGTAGCAATAAAAAAATGGTATTGTAAGGATATGTTCAAATCAAATGCGTACTGCGGCTGCTGTGCAGTAAAGGCAAATAAGATAAATAACATTGAAATATATTTTTGACATCAACTGATACTTTCAATTCAATTCATTGATTGTTTCGAGGCAATTATCGAGTGAATAATATTCAAAAGATTTCTGAATGTTAAAATCCTTCATTTATATTTTTCTGTAAAATTTATTAGTTTGTTTCGTTATTTTTCATTACGATTAATTTTAGATAACTTACCTTAAATTATGGCTTAATATAGGATTAATATTTTACCTTTGATATACATGCCTATTACAGTATAATCATAAACTTGTATCATATAGTAAGAGGGCTTAACCGATTCTTATGATTTCTTTATGTAATCATTACGTCTCAGAATAGAATGTAAACTATTTTTCCGAGCGTTAAGGACAGTCCACCATAATTTTTTATATATTCCAATATTTTTTTTAATTACATATTTTTTTACTACACACTGTTCTAAATTTTCTCCTTTCTACTATTAACATCTACTTTTAATAGTGATATTAGTACTTTAATAATTTGGTACACTTGATGGTCGCTAACTGATTAATTTATAAAATAAAACAACATTTGTCGGATCAGCTAGTAATCATATAACACAGAGGTTGAATCTATCTGATAATCAATCCGAAAACTTTTCGATAGATGTAGAATCCTTTAGTGCTGGTATATTCTCTATAAGACTACTATTGATACCTCTGCTTCTAACAAATGTTTAGAATTATAAGAACATTTTATTAAACAATTAAAGGATTAATCATTTGAAGTTTGCCATTACAAAAAAATTAAGACGATAGTTAAAAAAAAATAAAGTAGAGAATCTTCCACTACGTAGGGGCATCATCATGCCCGTCCCTCGGGCATGACTAATTGCGTAACTAAACATCCAGGGGGCACGTAATCCGATACTGATGTGTTTGTAAAAACTATCCGATTAGAATAGGGGAGACTCCTGTACTTGCAAAGCGATCTGTTTGCAATTTGTCTAGTTTGTAAAAAATAATTTAATTTAAATATTGTCAATTAGTATAAATAATATTATTTAAATTAAATTAAAAAATAAAACTAATATAAATATCAAAATTTTTGGAGATAATGGCGCATAACTGAGAAAATTAACAAAATATTCTTACATAAAAAGTAGATTATATAATGTAATAGATGTAGGAGAGAGAATATATCAGCACAATATGTTGAGTAAGTTGTATACTAGAATGAATATTCAAAGCTGCACGCAGTACGAGTAGTGAAAGTGAGTGTAGAGGTGCATCAGAAAAGAGATATTTGTAGCTATACCTGTTTTTTTGAGTAATTAGAATAGCATTCAAGTTAATCGCCCACCTGCTGGTATATGGTAAACCGTCGTCTACATACGAGTACATGAACGGCACTACGGCATCACGTTATCGTATGACGGGCGGTATTGCTAAAAAGTTCCACACGGGCTAACTGACCTAACCTTATGCTCATCTCATCATCCTCCATCGGAACGCCAGCGTTAGCGCAGTGATTAAAAAATGCTTTACATTTAAAACAAAATAATATTGCTTTCTGAGTGTTCAAGTTACTATAACAAATTAAGATGTATGTTATCATCACTTGTATAAAAAACAGAGGGATATGTGAACAATAGTTAATAATGTATACAAAATGTGTGGCCCACATCTCGTCACGGTGGCGTGATGCGATTGCCCGTGAAGTCGTCACGTCATAAATAAATTACAATGACACTTTTGTAACACGTGCCACTTTAGGCAAGTGTAAGTGATGAAAAAAATTACAAATATTCGTACAATAAAGTTAAATGAAATAATAATTTTTCAGGTATGTTCTGTATCATATCAAATGTTATCTCCATACCTACAAAAACCAAAATATGTATATATTTATTTGTAGTGACTGTATTTTATATCAGAGTATCTTAATGTACTTAGTCAGCATTAAATGTATACTAATATTATAAATGAGATCTATAAAAGTTATGAAGATAAAAAGTAACAATAGAACGAACATAGGCTCTTATTTATTAAAAAAAACTCTGGAAGGTGTAAAATAAACTAATTTGACTATATTCTCCTTAACAGGAATATCAAAGATTTAACCATGAAACATAACATATAGGTTATATATTAATACAAGTGTATTGATTGTCGATAATATTATCAAATAAATTACATTACGTATATTTTCTACGACAAAATGTCGGTACAGATTCACGAGATTTTATATTCCATTTAAATATGGCGCTAGTCTTGATATATTTTATTTGCTGTAGAGATACAAAAGCTTGGTCTACGGATATTGTTTATAGAATTGGAAACAACTTTTAGGTTGGCTAGAACAAGTAAATGAAAAATCGTCTAGTCAAAAAGTTACTAATATGTTTTGTGTTCGTTATGTATTAAAGGATAGTTTATAGAAAGAAATACTGTGTTGCCAGTCCGTATTTACTACATAATGACTAGCCGTACCTACTATCTTTCTGATAAAATATTTCTGAAACATTCTTTGGTAACACTATATAATACCATATTATGTACATTGAACAACACTTCGTCAAGTGTTTGTCGCGTATAAATGCAGAATAAACAAAAATAGCAACTTTCAAGTAATCCATTTACGAATTCAATTGAATTCGCAAAGGCGATACGCGTATTTGTAATAAAAGCGAAAAAATCTTATTTATTTACCCGACGTAGATCCGCATCCTATCTTCGGGGACACGAGCGCACATATCTTCATAAAATAAAACGGGGCGAGAAATAAGAGAGACGATGGCGCACCGAGCGACGGAACTGAACGCAAGAAGTCGCGTATTTTATTCACTAGCCAAATGGAGTTTAAAAAGGATTTATTTGCCAATATAAACGAGAACGTTTGCTTCCATAAAAATGGATCACTTTATTCACGATTTTATAGATTTCTCTGAATGTCGATGTGATTAGAAATGGCCTTAATAGAGACGCCCAGATACTTGTATCATATACTACTCGTGCATATAAACTAATCAATAGATTTTTCCACGCGTAGATACTTTGTAGTGCTTATGGTAATACAAATATAAATATAGTACAAATCGGTTACGGGAAATTATTAGGTTCTCTCCGATGGGCCATTAGTTTACTTTTTTATGTAGGTACTTGTCATTTCTGAGAACTAACATGTTATGCATAACATGCTTTATAATTTCACTGCCTTATCAAAATCAAGAGCTGTGTTTCAAAACAAGGTGTTTGCCGACTATAATTTACAGACTGATGATTTTTTTACAATGTCACTTCGGTGCAAAGCCTTGAGTTGCGTTATAAAAAATCTATGAATAAATTAATATTACTTACATTTTAATTTCTCCAACGGCTCATGGTGTAGCGGGGGAGCGTGGTGTAATGGTGCGTGTTGGGCCTCATGATGCAGTGGAGCCATCAAACTTGAGATAGCGGAACCCACAGACGCGGCCACCGAATCGTGTAGGTGACCGCCTCCATGGAGATCTAACTCCGAGAGGCAGAGTCCATTTTCGCTTAGCGGCTCCATGCCGGCCGCTAGCGCTTCTTTATACACCCTGAGGTGAATGATGATGCTTTGTTGAGACTGTCGGGGAATGTCGCGCGGGCGACTGGTTGGGCACGTTGAGATTACGCGCGGAATGACATCTTCCACCTGAAATATATTGTATTTTCAGTAATATTTTTAATTATTGTAGTAAACAAAAAGGATTCCATATTATTATGAGATGTACACGAACCGAAACTAAAAGACGAAAATTAATCCGCAGTATTTGCGACGGCATCGGCAAAAGTCATAATGTTCTAAGTAAACCTCTATCTAAAGAAGGAACGAAAATTAATAACATAATTAATCAATTATAATAACGTATAAAAAGGCCTTAATGTTAGAAGTAAGCAGAGTATGTAGATATATTGTGTGACCATTGTTGCACCGATGGAATACATACCTATACCTATGGAATATTGTACAAATAAACCCTTTGCATTACAAACAGGAAAATACATTTTCGTATTTATAACTATGGATTTAAGGTTATTTATCTTTTATTAACTTATGTCTGCTGAAGTGGAGTTTGGCTTTTATCAAAACCCTATTAACTGATATACGATAGTTCATATTTTTGTTGCTAATCAAGCGATAAACTATATTTCAAGCTACTCCTACCTGCACTCAGCTACACCTTTTATTAATTTTCATAATATCCAAAACTGATAATAACTTTGACTACTACCTATCTACTATGTATTTTTTTATTGTTCAATTTTATAAGTATATATATACTTATAAAAAATAAAAAGATACTCAGAAAGCGGTGTGCATCCGCAAAAGATAACAATCAAAATTGAAAAACCGAGAGGTAAATGGTAAAGGCCGTTGACACTCGATTCTAAGATAGGTAAATACGTATTTAGATAATAACGTTAGCTTATTGATTACGTACTGTAACCACGGTTATGGTCACGTGAATTAGGATAAAAAGAATTCTATGTACAGTCAGCTTCATAAATATACTAACAAAATTAATTTGTCGGTGGAGAATTTTTTAACAAATATTTTAGGAGTCAATATAGGCACGCAGGACGCAAATACAGTTATAAACATTTAATATAATTATATGTAAGAAGTATCCAAGGCTGTTGATATCCAATCCAATTGTTTATAAGATACTTGAATTAATTATTGTTTCTGTATAATTGGTACGCTTCGACACACAGGTCAGGTAAGTACGACGCACAGGTCAAGACTATGATTCAAAATCTGTTAATGTTATCTAAGTAATATTTATGAAGTCACCGAGGAATGAACTTTCTTCTTTCTTTAGGTTAGTAATTATTTGTAAATTAGGGCAAGAAATAAAAACAAATAATTTTTCATGTGTATTAATTCAATTCAATTCAATTTGCATCCACAATAAAATGAGATCAAGCCAATAATAAATATTCAATATAATATATAATAATCAATATGGTTTCGGAATTGCTGAGGATATTACGTTACATACAAAAAAAAACATTTTAATTGAAAATCCTTCTTATTGGTGTTGGTTCAAAAAATAAAGGTACTAAGAATAGTTTCATATACGGCCTGAAAAGCTCAGCCGTGTAACCCATACACCGTCCGTACTGGAAGTTCCTAGAGGAAATAAATCAATTCGAAGCATCAACATGATTTAAGGCCGAGTACACATGACAGTGTTTGAACGATAAAAACAACAAGCGTCATAAAAAAACGGAGATATATAACTTTACTGCTTTCATATTTCAAATAGCCGTGTCAGTGTTGGAGTATCGTTTCATTGTGCACATAAAATACCGGTAGGAAAAAGGTATACATGTGATTTATTGGTTTAATTGCCGTTTTCATATGCCAGCAGCTAGGTGCAGTCGAGAATTCAATATTCAGGCAAAAATAAAAAGAGCATTCAGCTAACTCGCGTCGATGTGCGAATATACTCACTTTTGCCTTTCCGTTCAACCGAATCGTAATAGAAAAAATTGTGTACATAACTGTTTGTTGACTAGCAACCCACAATTTTAGAGTAAAATTGTGGGTTGCTAGTCATTTTGTGTGTATTTTGAATTAATGAATAAAACTCTTTAGAGGAACAACCTCTCACAGAAAATACACTTAGATACGATTATGTATGAAATGATAAAAAACACAATAGTAAATAAGACAAAGAGGTAACAACAGGCGGCTTTATCGCTAAAAAGCGATCTGTTCCAGACAACTTTAGGATGGAGAGAAGTGATTAGATTTGTGTCTGGTAGAGGTGTAACAATGGTAACAATATTGGAAGAAATGTTATTAATACACATATACTTACAAAATATCAGTATTTGTTACATTAATTTTTTAATGTATATCCGAGTTACAATGTTTTGTAACGTTTTATTTTGGCTTATATTTTTTATTATGTAACTGAAATCGAAAACAAGTTTACGGTCCAACTGCAAGGTGATAACCGTCGTCAACATGAGTAGATAGATATATGATGCATCACAGTAATCACATGAGTAGCCATTCTTTACTGATAAACTAACGGAAACAAACATTTATTTAACTTAGTGCCTAAAATTCGATTTGTATGAGATGTAACATCTAAATAATTATTATTAGTGGTATAGATTGTTACAATTAAAATAGCCTGATACTTCAGAATACTTTTAATGAAATACCTCAGTCTATAAAGCATCAAAAGAAGAAAAAAAAACGTTTATTATAGACATACTATAACTTAGAAACTTAATAACATAAAAATTTTGATTTCTTTTTCTTAATTTAGTTATAGGTAATATACAAATATTAAAAAAATAACGCTTCTTATATATTTAATAATAATTGTATTACTTTAAATATATTATTGGTACTAGATTGTAGTCATAATTATTTTGTTGGAGTTGTTAGATAAAAATCTAGGTATAATATCTCTATATAATTTGCATTTATAGGTATTGAATTTCAATGAAATCATAATATTCAATATTTGAATAGAATAATTACTTATACATATACCTATGTCAAAAGAAGTCGTAAAACTAAATTACTGAAAATAATATTTGTAATTTAATCTTTTTATATGAATAGATCACAGTACATGCAAGGTGTAAAAGTATATTTTTATTCATTACTTCCAAAGAGATGTTAGTCAGTTCAATAATACTTATTTCATCACGTCTTTTATTTTCTTAATCCCTAAAACTTACTTATCTTATATATTGAAAGGCTCCAAAAACTATTCCCAACTACCCAGATGGAAGAAGAAAGGCTATGGGTTTCGATAGTATTACAGTACACCAGGCAAACAATAAGCACGTCCTCCCGCGAAATGAAGTAGTAAAGTCCTCTCACTCGTAAAGGTTTCACAAATCGAGGCTGCCGTCATAAATGTAGTATAGATTACAGCCATAATCCAAAAGATCCAATACAATTCAAAACGTCAACATGAATCAGTCAAACAAAAATAACAACAAACGTAAAGTAAACAATACTACACATAACGAGATATTAATCTTGAGCCGCGGTGAGTAATTGAGCAAAGCCAAAGCAGCAATCGAGTCGCGTGAGCCTCTCTCATCCCTTTAAACCGACGTAAAGCCTTTTTTAAGCCGAAAGATTTAAGTTGGCGAAAGTGCCGTGCTCTATTAAAACGCCATCTCATTCGAATTTTGGTCGAGTTCCATCGAATCTTCGACTAATCGAATACCATCGAATGGCGAACACCGTTCCATAACTTTTACAAACGCACCAATTCTATAACCATACCATGTTTTGATTATCAACATTTTCAGTTACTTTACATTACACTAGTATTTTTTTAATTTACTGATAGCAGTCGTCGTCTCCATGGTCATTCAATGAACTGATTCATATAAGGCGTTATGTGCATTCAGTTTTATTGAATCATTCTTATTCTTGGGCCATGTACTCAATTTAGACACCAATACATAACGACGTATGTATATTTCAAAAACATATCATATATCTTGAAAATTGTCATCACACGTTTACTTATTTCATTTATTTTTCTTCTTTCGAATATGAAGTTCCAATTATTTGTAATCGATTCTGCGCGTCGTCTCCGTCGGATTTAACGCACCAGAATGACACTTCAGTTTGTTAGTTTACCAAGTCTTTTCATATATAAAGATGTTCATTAATAATGCTAATATTGATAGACTTCTGACCACCACCACCAATATCTGGAACAGTGCTGTATGGCACTACTTTGTTGCCATAGCCATGTAATTGTGACTTATCCCTATATGTCCCTTATTAAATAATATGGATACATTTTTTAATACACAAAATTGTCATGTCACAGTGCTTGAAACAAAACTTCTCCGAAACGACTTTTACAAATTTTATAAAATTCTATATGTATATAGAGTAGGTCTGAGAATGGAACGTACCAATTTTTCATAATTCTAAGCCATGGTGGTTCATCCTAAGGTATTTTTTTTAATATATTTTTGGCTGCGAAATCATAAAATAATTCAATATTTTATGATTTCGCAGCCAAAAATATATACAACCCTTAATTTTCAACTCTTCTACCATCAATCCCTTTATAATAGCGTTATTGGTACTTTCATTTTTATATGACAAAACAACGTTTGCGGGGTCAGGTTATGGAAGTCTTCCGAAACGGCTTGATCAATTTATATAAAAATGTTGGTGTATATTTGGTAGATTTACACATGATATTAAAGTAGGGGCAATTTTGTACCAGTCGTGGCAGACATCAACTCAGACCTACTACGTAATAATATGTGGGTTTTCCGATAATAAACAATGATGTCTAATAAGAAAAATATTTATGTGCCTGCTTCAATTAAAAAATATTACTTCTGTACCTACTTGTAATTTAATAGATACTACTTATCACTCTATCAATCATTTGTTTAATTGCGATTAAGGGTATACACATCGTGTTATAAATACAATAGATGACTATAATCCTAATCGAGTATGTGGTATGCAAAATAATTTGGGTCATTAACACATTAGAGGTCGTCTTTAAATTATGTCACACATTAAGGAGTGAACAGCGGAAGGGGTCGACGAAGTGTGACCGTGTGTGACGAATGAAGCAGGCGTGATAAATTGCACGACGTCATTTATATAACAAGTCTAAATTTTCTTAATAT